CCTCTGTTGCATTGTAACCATTCCAATATTCTAATCAAAACTCTGAGGAATGGACAGGGGAGAGGACAGATTGGCAGCTTCTTCATGGATGGTCCTGAGCCACTAAAGCAACTCTATGTTAACTGGTCTGAAGTTCTGAAGAGTTATGCTGGACTTGAAATGTTAATTCCATTTCTCGCGCCACAGAGACTGCCGGAGCAGCTGAGTTTCTCCAACACTTACTGATTAAACTTAATCCAGCATCCACAATATTTTGCTTCTATGTTAAGTGTTGTTTGATACCCACTTTTCAAACAGGGAGGCAATGGTCTCATAGTATTATTGGTGGACTGTTAATCCAGAGGTCAAGATAACGTTCTGGGTTTGAATCATGCCAATGCAGATGGTGGAATTTGAATTCAATAAAAAAAACCTGGAATTAAGAATTTAGTGATGACCATGAATCCTTTGCCAATTGTCAGAAAAACCCATCTGGTTCACTAACGTCTTTTAGCAAACCGCCACCCTGACCTGGTCTGGCCTATTTGTGACTCCAGAACCACAGCAATGTGGTTCACTCTCAACTGCCCTTTCGGCAACTGGGATGGGCAATAAATACTGCCTAAAAGCTACTCCCACATCCTGTGAATGAATAAAGGAAAAAAAGATATTGAGTTCCCTTTGAATTCTTTGTCAATAGCTTTCCAATACCCTGAGGACTTTCTGAATGTATCAGAGGAACATTTGGAACAGAAGGAGGCCATTTAGTCCCTTAAGTCTCCTCAAACATTCAATTCAATCAGGACTGACCTTTATTTCATATACCTTTACCTTTGTTAAGCTCTTAACAAAAATCTAACATCTCCATTTTAAAATGTTCAATTGGCTCTCAGTATCCACAACCTGCCATGACCGGGGATTTTACATTTCTAATTCTCCACTTTGCTCTCACACTGATATTTCTGTGCCGCACTCACTGCACTCTTCCAGTGAAGTTACACATAAGCTTCAAGAAAGCACCTCATCTTTCAATTCAGCACTTTAAAGCTTTCTGGACTCACCATGGAGACCAACATTTTCAGACTGTGAACTCTGTCCCCTATTTTGTTTTCATTTCTCTTGTTTCAGTTTGTTTCTTTGTGAGCTGCACACCTGCTCCAGGCACAGGTTTTGTTACTTTGTTTCTTTTCCAGCCCCAACTCCATTGTCTGTGGCCTTTCTGTCATTTAATCTTTCCTGTCTTCTCCCTTGTCACAGACCATCTTTTTATACTCGCCTAACCCAAACCTTACTCAAATCCAATCACATTTCTTACGTTTCCCAGTCCTGATGAAAATTCATATACCTGAAACATTAACTCTATTTCTTTCTGCAAACATACTGCCTGAACTTCTGAGTTTTTTCAACATGTTCTGTTTTCATTCTGAATTTTTACAATCCTGTGAAGAATTGTATGAAGATTTCACATTATCTCCAAATAATGTCCCTTTGTTCTCAATTCCCCACGAGAGGAAATAGCTTCTGTATCTATACAATTAACACATTCAACAGATTTTTGGAGAAGTATCAAGTTATATTTACATTTCAGGGTGAAGAAGCGCTGTTGGATTGGCTTATAACAAGGCTTTCAGAGACTCAGCCCCAAGCCTTGCTTCATTTTTTCATCAGCAGGTTTTCTGATTATAATTCAGTTTAACCAACCGGAGTGTTTAATATGGGATTTGAATGATAATTGCTGCTGGATACTAGACATGGAAAGACACATGAGGTTGCTGGGAGAACTGGACATGGCATGACAAATAGGTGCAGGAATGATTATTCCCACAAATCACCAGTTTCATTCAGCTCAATTTCACATACTGCCTTTATATTTTTGTGAGTTCTCACTCACTGCTTCTATTTAAATCAAATTCACAGCGTATTCAAGGGTGAGGATTCGCAATTAGGAAACTCGAGCCAAACATCTCATCAAGATTTGACAAATTACTCAATTTATAGTAACCAGAACATCATTGGATTTTGACCATGGAAAAAGAAAACACCTCTGAGTGGGGAGAAACTGTACACATGTTCTGTTTGTGGTCGAGGCTTCAGCCAATCTTCTGGCCTGTCTAAACACAAGTGCAGTCACAGCAGGGAGAAGCTGTGTAAATGTGGGGACTGTGGGGAGGGCATTTAACTTCCCCTGTGAGCTGGAAACTCATTAGCGCTGTTACACTGGGGAGACGTTGTTCCTGTGCTCTGTGTGTGAGAAGGGCTTCACTCAGTCAGCGCACTTGCTGCAAAATCAGCGAGTTCACAGTGGGGAGAAGCCGTTCACTGCTCTGTTTGTGAGAAGGGCTTTACTGATTTGTCCAACCTGCTGAGACACAAGCAGGTTCATACTAATGAGAGACCTTTTAAATGTGCAAACACTGGGAAGTGCTGTAAAAGTTCCAGGGAACTGACACGCCATCAAAGTGCTCATACAGATGAGAGACCATTCAAGTGCTCTCACTGTGAGACTGGGTTTAAGCATTCATCTGAACTCGCTCTACATCAATGCACTCACACTGGAGAGAAGCCATTCATCTGCTCTGTGTGTCAGAAGAAGTTCACACAATTATCTCATCTTCAGTCACACCAGCGAGTTTACACTGGGGAGATACCATATGCCTGCTCCAAGTGTGAGAAGAAATTTGCTCATTCATCCCATCTGGTGAGACACCAGCGATGTCACAAGTAGTTCTGGTGTTGGGATTTTCCTGTTAATCACATCCAGAACTGACCCATGTATATCAGGCTCTATTTCTGTTGATGTTAATAAAATCCAACCAAGTTAAAGGTGCTAGCATTCTGGGTGTCAAATAAATCAGATATGTATCAATTGTACAGTGTGGTGAGTCTTTTTAATATCGAACACCAGTTTGTTATTTTTGAAAGGCTCTCCCTCTCTCCTGCCTCCTCCATCCTCACCTCCAACAATAAGTACAAGGAACACAAGCTTCTTTGTCACGAAGATTGAGACAATCTGATCAGCTCCCTGTCCTGTTTCCCTCTCTCTCATTCGCTCACTGGGACAAACTGCCTCAAAAGTTGTTCCATGTCTGAGCCCTGGGCATGTACGTGTCTTCACTCTCCCCCCATTTCCTATCATGGTATGTGAGAGCTCACCTTGTCCAAGACACTCACTTCCTGCTCCAATGGCCTTATTCCCATGAAATGTCTGACCACTGAACATCTCTATTTGCTGCATTTGTTAATGGTTGTCTTGCAGGTTTTGTTCCCTTTTACTTTAAACCTGCTATATTCATGATCCAACCCCACCATCCCTGCAAGTTACTGTCTTATTTTGAACCTGCCCTTCCCATCCAAAGTCCTGGAATGAATTGTTTCCTCCCAAATCCATGCCATATCTCCCAGCAGGCAATGTTTTAATCCCCCAGACAGATTTCTGTCCCTGGCAAATTCAGGAAAATCTGCGCTTGTGGTCACATTCACCGTTTGATGGAGCAACATGCATTTGTGTGGAAAATTGGCATGTTGCTTCGAGTTTGATGTATAAATAACGACAAAACTTTCCACAATAATGGAAATCGAGTGAGTTGGAATGTTTGCTCATGCCTGATAATATCCATCAGGAGAACATCTATTCCACATTAGATGCAGAAGCTTTCTGCCAACTGTAGGGGCATCCACCATGTATTAAAAACACTGCCATCCACAAGGTGTTGGAGCAGGAGTCGGCCATTCAATGAGATCATGGCAGATCTGATAACCCACTGTGCTGCCATTTCCCACAATCTTTAATTTCTCTACCGATTAAAAAGAATAATCTGCCTGTCTAAATCTAGTGAGCACAGGTCCTTGAGAGAATGAACGGGGAAAATAATAATGGGGAAACAGGAAATGGCAGAAGTGTTCATTAAATACACTACACCAGTCTTCACAGTAGAAGCCGCTTGTAGCTTTTCAAAATTGTTTAAAAGCCAAAAGGCAAATAAAAGAATAGGAAATAAATGCAATGAATATCATTGGAGATGAAATGTTAGGAAATCTATTGGAGCTAAAGACCAATTAAAGCCTGGATCTGGTTGGTTACATCGTAGGATATGAAAGGAGCGAGGTGCAGAGATCGTGGATGCACTGGTAGTCATTTTACAAGAATCTTTAGAGTTTGGAAGAGTCCCAGGGGGTTAGAAAACTGCCAGCTTAGTACCTCTATGTGGGAAAAAAAAGTTAACTGTAGACTATTTAGCTTAACATCCGTTACTGGATACATCTTAGAGTCTATTATAATAAAAGGTGTAACAGCAGAACCAAGGATAGATCCTTGAGGGACAACCAAGTTCAGGGAATTTTGAGAGGAACATAAGAAATAGGAGCAGGAGTAAGCCATCTGGTCTGTCCAGCCTGCTCTGCCATTCGATAAGATCATGGCTGATCTTTCCATGGATTCAGCTCCACTTAACTGCCCACTCACCATAACCTTCATTTCCTTTACGGTTCGAAAATCTTTGCCTTAAAATCTGACGTCGTCTCAAATTCTTCACTGGGCAGGGAATTCCACAGATTCACAATCCTTTGGGAGAAGTTCCTTCTCAACTCAATCCTAAATGTGCTCCCCCTTAGTTGAGGTAATGCCCCCTAGTTCTAGTTCCACCCATCCAACATCCCTGCTTCTATCTTATCTATTCCTTTCATAATTGTATGAGTTCCCCTATCATTTTTCTAAATTTCAATGAATATAGTCCCAGTCTACTCAATCTCTCCTCATCAGCCATCTCAATTTTGGAATGCACCTAGTGAAACTCCTCTGTATGCCCTCCAGTGCCAGTGTATCCTTTCTCAAGTCAGAGGACCAAAAATGTACACAGTACTGTAGGTATGGCCTCACCAGCACGGTATCCAGCTGCAGTCTAACCTCCCTATTTTTAAACTCCATCCCTTTACCAATGAAGGACACTATTCCATTTGCCTTCTTAATTAACTGCATCTGCAAACTAATTTTTTTTATTCGTCACCCAGGTCCCTCTCCACAGCAGTACGCACCAATATTTAACAATTTAAATTGTAGTCAATTTTGCTGTTATTCCGACCAAAATGGATAACCTCAATATTGTACTCCATCTGCCAGACCCTTACCCATTCTCTTAACCTATCTATATCCCTGTGTAGACATTCAGTGTCCTCTGCACACTTCGCTCTACCACTTATCTTTGTGAACTTTGACACACGACACTTGGTCCCCAACTCTTAATCATCAATGAAAGAGAGGGTGGAGATTGACAGTTTGCAAAGATGGTAGGATGAAGTGTCAGTCTTTCCCAAGAAGGTTGATGATGGCGGAATTATCAGTGAGAGGGACAGACCCAGGAGAAAGAGAATTGTTAACAATATGCATCACATGGATCAGCAGTTTAGTGGGAACATGGTAGAGGGACTAGGAGCTGTGTCTCATGAACAGGAGCTTTCTCAGGTTAAACTCATCACCAGTCATTGCTCTGTCGCTCTGTCTCTCTCTCTCTCTCTCTCTCTCTCTCTCTAGTGAGAGCACAGCCCTATGGTTCTCTGGGACTGTGGCAACTACTGCTGCAGGGGAGATACAACGCACTGCAAAAGGGACCAAATTTTATTTGAACTATTACCAAAAGACCACAAGGTATACGATCAGAATTAGACCATTCAGTCCATCAAATTTGCTCTGCCATTTAATCATGGCTGATGTGTTTCTCAAAACCATTCTCCTGCCTTCTCCCCATAACCCTTCATCCCCTCACTAATCAAGAAAACATCCATTGCTGTCTGAAATACGCTGAACGACTCGGCCTGCACAGCTCTCTGTGTCAATTAACTCTGCAGATTCACCACCCTCTGTCTGAAGAAATTCCTCCTTTTCTCAGTTCTAAAGTGTCATTCCTTCACTCTGAGGCGGTGCCCCCGAGTCCTGGTCTCTTCTATAGTGGAAACATCTTCTCCATGTCTACTAGTATTCTGTAAGTTTCATTCAGATTCCCATCCCCCACCCCATCCTTCTGAACTCTATCAAGAACAGAGAGTCCTCAACCAATCCTCTTATGACAAGTCCTTCATCCATGTAATTATTCTTCTGGACCACCTCTGGACACCGTCCAACACCAGTATGTCTTTTCTCAGATACTGGGCCTAAAACTGCTCAAACATTACAAATGCAATATGACCAGAGCCTTGTTTAGACTCAATAGTGCATCTCTGCTCCTGTTTTCCAGCTCTCTTGAAATGAATGCCTACATTGCATTTGCCTTCCTAACCACCAACTGAACCTGCACTTTAACCCTAAGAGAATCCTGAACTAGAACTCTCAAGTCCCTTTGTGATTCAGATTTCTAAAGCCTTTCCCCATTTCAAATATAGTCTATGCCTCTAGCTTTCTGATCAAAATGTATAACTTCACATTTTCCCTCATTGTATTCCACCTGCCACTTCTTTGTCCACTCTCCTCGCCTGTCCAAGTCACTCTGCAATCATCCTGCTTCCTGAATGTGACCTGTCCCTCCACCTGTCATCGTGTCATCTGCAAACCTAGCAACAATGTCCTCAATTCCTTTGTCCAGATTGTTAATGAATAATGTGAATAATTGTGGTCCCAACACTGACCCCTGCTGAATGCCACTAGTCACTGGCTGCCATCCTGAAAAAGAGCCCTGTCAGTCACCCAATCCTCAAGATTTGTCAGTGTCTTGGCCCCGAAATCACGGGCTCTTATCTTATTTAGCAGCTTCCCATGTGGCATCTTGTCAAATGTCATGTGGAAGTCCAAACAGATCACTTCCACTAGCTCTCCTTTACGTAACTTGCTCAGCACCTCCTCAAAGAATTCTAAGATTTGTCAGGTATGACTTCCCATTGATGAAGCCGTGCTGACTCTACCAAGTACTCCATGATCACATCCTTACAATGACCTGCCACACTGTTTTTGACATAAAGCTGATTGACGTGAGTTTTATCCAAAATGTTAAAACTTTACCTTCAGTCCTGAATGTGATGAACTGCAAAATCCAATCGCTGTTGAGATGTGTGAACTCTGTTTTTTTCACAGTCTGGACATTTAAAAGGTCTCTCATTAATGTGAGGTAATTGATGGGATGACATCTCCCTGGAAGTTTTAAAGCATTTTCCACAGTCTGGGCATTTAAAAGGTCTGTCTGCAGAATGAACACATTGATGGCATAGCAGTCCCAGAACTTTTACAGCACCTTCCGCAGTCCAGGCATTGAAATGATCTCTCCTCAGTGTGAACGAGCTGGTGTTGCAGCAGGTTAAATGACTGAGTGAGTCTCTTCCCACACACTGAGCAGGTGAATGGCCTGTTACTGGCGTGACAGCGTCGATGAGTTTCCGGCTCAGGTGGGGAAATGAATTCCTCCTCACAATCGTCACATCTTCACTGTTTCTCCCCAGTGTGACTGCATTTGTGGTTTGTGAAGCCTGATAATTGGCTGAAGCCTTGTCCACACACCCAAAATATGTACGTTCCTCTCCAGGGCTGTTTCCTCCTATGTTCAAAATCGGATCACGTTCCAGTTGTGATAAAACAGGCAACTCCATCAGATCATGTTGTAATGGTTGGTTTGTGAATCTTCCCCTTCTAATATCCTGTGAAATTGATGTTAAACAAACAACAATAGAGTGAGAGAGAATCTCTCACAAGACTCCGGCTTCTATGTGAAGGAAGGGACTGAAGGAGGAGGATTTTCAACACACACA